CTTTGTGCCTGTGCCTTTGCTTGTGATGCCATGAGCACCAAGGAATCTGACTGACCAGAAGGAGAGCGTAGAGGAGGTGCTGCTGCTGTGTGGCGAGGTGGATGCCTTGCGGAGGGAAGTACAGCGTCTGCTTTGTTCAACGTAGACCTTCGGCACCAACAGCAAGCAGAGGCGCCGAGCTGCCACTGTCCATGCCCCCGAGGTGCTCGATGATATGCTTTGAAGTGATGTCGTATGAGTTTAATCCAAGCCTAATGACGTGGCAGCCGGTTCAATAAATAGAGAGCCAGCTTTAGACAAGCTGTTGCGAAACCTTTTCACTCTTGGAGCTGCTCTAAAGACGTCTCTAATGGTTTCTAAATAACTAGTCTAGGAAGAATTCTATTGGCTATTAGGGAGAGAGATCAAATAGCTAGCGACTTCCAAATAGTTAGTCTAGCACAATCTCCTAAAAATAACTCTATCACAGCTCAAATAACTCTCCACTACAGTGTTCTTTTATTATTATTTCTAAGCCCAATCTAGCTAGCTATTTGGAAATTGCCATTGATAACGGGACATTTATTATGATAGTTTTTATTTTTTATCTATCTTAATTACCATGACAACTAAGCAAATTGCTGATGTGCATTGGGAAGACTCTACTCGTTTTCTGGATCCCGTGCGCCACTGCCGCCTCGCCAGCATTTCTTCGCCCGAGCTCGCTGCTCCGGCACTCGCTGCTGCCGTGGTCGCTCGCTGCTCCGACGCGGCTTGCTGCTGCCGTGCTCGATCGCTGCTCCGGCGCGGCTTGCTGCTGCCGCGCTCGCTGCTCCAGCGCGGTTCGCTGCTCTGGCGCTCGCGGCTGCCGTGCTCGCTCGCTGCTCCGGCACGGCTCGCTGCTCCGGCGCTCGCTGCTCCAGCGCGGTTCGCTGCTCCGGCGCTCGCTGCTGCCGCGCTTGCTTGCTGCCGCGCGGCTCGCTGCTGCGGCTCTCGCTTCTGCAGCGCTCGCTGCTCCAGCGCTCGCTTCTGCCGCGTGCGCTCGCTGCTGCCGAGCGTGCTGTCTCACAGTGTGCTGGTGCACGCAAAAATCCCCGAGCAAGGAATCTTAGCCCTCGTCCAACAGTCCAAATGCATGTTGCTTTCTCCTTTCCCAGTTCAGTGAATTCATGAAGTGTTTTTTTTTCTATTTCTGAACTGGAACACAGGTATTCCTATTCAGTGAATTAGACATCAGGCATCGCTGGTGTGAACACTGTTCTTTTATTCAGATAACTGCTAAACATTGCCGACCATGCATAGAAGATTGTATAGTTGCTCACCACAGTTGATCTACTTTTTTTTCTTTGGTGCATTTAAGTTATCATTTGTATGGATACTGCTATAGAAACCATGGGTTGAGAATGATAGTTTCTACTAGACATTAATTGCTCTCTTTCTCTTGAAAACTATGACTAGAAACTATCCATTGGGACTGCCTTAACAGCCCCTAGCTAGCACAGTCGTCTTCAGTAACAGTATATTAATTAATTACAGAGGTTATCAAAAACGACTCAGAAAAATGGGCAGAGCCGCCATGCGCGAAGTGCATGCACTGCAGGTGATGAGGAGCTGAAGACATCGTGGCCCTGAGGCCAGGTGCTGCTGGGGTGGGTGAGGCCGCGAGGGATGAGGCTGAGTCTGAACGCGACGATCAAGATCAGTAGCGACGTGGTCAAACGGCCATGTAAGAAACAGCTTCAGCCACAGCCTTGCCAAACAACCATTTGGGCTGTTGGCCTGCTTGCACAAACTTACCGAGCAGAATTTACTCTGACACCACAACAGGTTAGTTAGTATGGCTAGCTACAATGAGTATTTCTTCTACATGGCTTCACTTTTGTGTACTTTTGTTACATGGCTAGCTGCCATCATAATCTCAATTGAAATTATTTCGGTGTATTTGTTAGTTTATCTGTTATTCCTTTTTTATTATTTCTCCCATCCTTAGTTGCTTTCTCAGCATATGGTTGCTGTAGTATGCACAGAACTAACCGTTTGGATCATTTTTGTTCATGCCATATCTTCATTCACAAATTATAAAAAAAGAGGATACTATTTTCATCTAGATGAATCCTAATGTGCACGGTTATCAACGCATTAGAAATAGAATGAAACTCCACTGGAAGTGTTTCGTTTCATCACCACTCGTTGGAAACTAAGTGAAACTCTACTGGAAGCACTTCATTCCACAACACTATACAAAATTTAAAAGCGTATGTCATTAGATGGTGACAAAACTCTCAGTGGCCTTATAGCCTGATTGGTTACTTGCATATGTCATGACTAGGTTTTAGGATACAACTTCAACGTGTTTGGATGTCCGCATGAAGCACTGAGCATGTCCCCCTCAATGCAAAAGCAGACCGCGAGCCTTGTCCCAGCAAACGAACGGAATCCATTTATCTAGTGAAAGGTCCTAATGGCTAGAGGGTGGTGAATAGCCTAATAAAATTCTACAACAACACTTAACAAAATGTATTAGACAATTTTGCGGCGAAGCGAGTGTTGCGCTAGCCTACTAAAATACAAGCCACCTACCATAATTCTATTTCGAATAGTGTATGTCCACACAATAGCTATGACACTTAGCTAAATTAGTGTGCTCTCAAAGACTAACTAAAGAGCAACACTAATCAAACAAACAAGCTCTCACAACTAGCTACACTAAAGAGCTTGATAACTAGTTTGCGGTAATGTAAGAGTGAGCAAGAGAGTTATACCGCCGTGTAGTTGTAGGAACCAATCAATCAAAATAATGAATACCAATGTAGACCAATCACCTCGGAATCAAATGATGAACACAATGATTTTTACCGAGGTTCACTTGCTTGCCGGCAAGTTAGTCCTCGTTGTGGCGATTCACTCACTTGGAGGTTCACGCGCTGATTGGCATCACTCGCCAAACCCTCAATAGGGTGCCGCACAACCAACACAAGATGAGGATCACACAAGCCACAAGCAATTTACTAGAGTACCTTTTAGCGCTCCGCCGGAAAAAGGTCAAGAACCCCTCACAATCACCACGATCGGAGTCGGGGACAATCACCTCCTCCACTCAACGATCCTTGCTGCTCCAAGCCGTCTAGGTGGCGGCAACCACCAAGAGTAACAAGCGAAATCCGCAGCGAAACACAATCTCCAAATGCCTCTAGATGCAATCACTCAAGCAATGCACTTGGATTCACTCCCAATCTCACTATGATGATGAATCAATGATCTAGATGAGTGGGAGGGCTTTGGCTAAGCTCACAAGTATACTATGTCAATAGAAATGGCCAAGAGTGTGAGCTTGAGCCGGCCATGGGGCTTAAATAGAAGCCCCCATGAAATAGAGCCGTTGTACCCCTTCACTAGGCGCAACGCGGGGTGACCGGACGCTCCGGTCCGATCGACCGGACGCTGGCCCTCAGCGTTCGGTCACGTGATTCACGCCACGTGTCCCCTGCTTCAAATGTTGTTCGTCAGATTTCAACGGTCGTCTACTGACCGGACGCGTCAGTTAGAAAGTGACCGGACGCTGGACTTCAGCGTCCGGTCGTTTCCAGTAAGCTCCCCGAGGCGTATTTCTTCGACCGGACGCGTCCGGTCCACCTTGACCGGACACAGACCAGCGTCCGGTGCAATACCCTCGGCACTGCGCAGACCCATCAGTTTGACCGGACACACGCAGCCAGGGTCCGGTGCTTTCAGACCCAGCGTCCGGTCAGAAGACCGACGCCAGCGTCTTCGCGATCAACTCGTTTTCACTTCTAACTTCTTCACCCTTGCTCCAATGTGCCAACCACAAGAATTTGCATCCGGCGCAATAGAAAATAGGCATTCCATTTTCCCGAAAGCGCCGAATCCCGCCAACCCATCTCAACCCTACAAACACCACCTCCTTTGTAAATGTGCCAACACCACCAAGTGTATTACCTTGTGCATAAGTGTTAGCATATTTTCACAAACATTTTTAAGGGTGTTAGCACTCCACTAGATCCTAAATGCTTATGCAATGAGTTAGAGTATCTAGTGGCACTTTGATAACCGCATTCCGATACGAGTTTCACCCCTCTTAATAGTACGGCTATCAATCCTAAATGTGATCACACTGTCTAAGTGTCTTGATCACCAAAACAAAATAGCTCTTACAAATTATACCTTTGCTTTGAGCCTTTTTGTTTTTCTCTTTCTTCTTTCCAAGTCGAAGCACTTGATCATCACCATGCCATCATCTTTATCATGCTATGATCTTCATTTGCTTCACCACTTGGAGTGTGCTACCTATCTCATGATCACTTGATAAACTAGGTTAGCACTTAGGGTTTCATCAATTTACCAAAACCAAACTAGAGCTTTCACAGGTAAACCAAACACACTATTATGGACTCTGCTCTACCGAAATGGTATCCACTACCGAACAATGCGGGCTTGCTGGTTACCGACTCGTGGACTTGCGCTATGAGCCAATCTATAGTGATACCTTGGTATTCTCGGGAATATCCAACTTTTTGGTACTACAACATTAAGTATATACGTAGGTATACTCATATGTATAATGCATATTCAGAGTGTTCGGCTGCAGGAAAGCACCTGCTGTGGCTTTTCCTCACTCTGTGGATCACTGTAGCAGCAGCGGTAGCTGGCTGCAGCTTTAGTGCAGGCCAACACTGTAATTGCTTTTTTAGGGAAATGTATAATGCATATTGTTGTTAATTCACTATTTTTTGAGTAGAAACTCAGCCCACCGCTACTTTTTGCGGTCTTCTTTGGTTCTCAACCTTCCATGCCGGCATGCAAGGGGCTAGGGCGCAAGGCCCAGTGGCCGTAGCCCACTAAGCCACACGCGCACGCTTCCTGTTCCCCGACACTTCCGTGCTCGGTGCTCCCCCCAATCTTGCTTCTCGCCTCTCCGTTCTTCAGTCCCGGCGAGCGACGACGGCAGAGGGACGACACTCCACTCCTGGTGACAGCGAGCGGCGGCAGGGCGCGTGACAGAGATGCAGCCGACGGGCGACGGCTCCACCAGGACGGTCGAAGGTGAGGGATTTCCCAAGAGCTCTTTTGGAAGCAAGGAGGAACAAAGCCCAGGGATAAAAGACTCCCAATAAAAACTAGAATGATACAGAAAAAAGTCCACGATCCTAGAGAATTGGAGTTTCCAACTGGGCCACGAAGTGGATTTATGAATTTGACTGTGCTAGTGATTTCCCGAAGTGGCTTTGCGCTCTCGCGGTGCAGCTTCCCAACGCGGCAACGCGCGAACGACCGCGTGCCGAGCCGACCGAGATGCCACGCCACTCGATCGCAGCATGGAAACAGGAGAATGCCGCTAAAGTTGAGGTTATTTACCCGCTATTGCCATCAGTATACTCCCTTCTCCTCAGTCGCTCTGGAGTCTGGATCCCTCCTCCCCGTTCCCGTTTCCGTTCCCCTTCCGCTTCCACATTCCTCGGTCAGGACGACGCGCATCCCCGTCCGCACGTCCCCGTGCTCTCGCTTCTCCAGAGGCGACTAGGGTTTGGAGGCTGCCGAGAGGGTGCTACCCGGGCCAACTCCTCCGACCACCCGCAAGAGAAGGAGCTCTCCGCTGCCCCCGCCATCGTCTGGCCCTTTCCCATCGCCATCCGCGAGCTCCAGCCCTTGTGAATCGGAAGGGTTCTGGATTTGATTTGGGAGCCAAGCGACCGGCGGGCACGCTCCCCCGTCTCCCGGTCTCTTCCTCCCCGAGCGGCACCCCCCTGCATCCGCTTGCCGCTTCTAGCATCGGGGAGGTACTACGTCCTCTCCTTCTTTTTCTGTTCAATAATTTAAATATTTAATAAATGGTGATATTACTGCTGAACCGATTAGTAGAAGCTGATTGGATTGTAGCATTTCGGTAGCCCCTGATGAAAGTTCGTACTTCTGCGCTGTGTAGTAGATTATATTGCAGTTGCACCGGTGTACAATTTTTAATCGAATTAGCAGGATGAATGGAATTAGTATCATTCCTGAGAATAACCGAATTGATCCTGATTGATTGTGAACCGATTGTTTAGTAGCACTTTTCTGATGATAACGTACGTTTCAAATTGTTTCAGTTCTTGCTTCAGTTTTTGTCTCAACTGATGCTTAATCAAACACTAACCGTAAATTTTGGAAACTTCCGTTCAAATATGGCGAACCTGAGAGTTAAGAACTGAAGATCCTTAATAGATACCAAAAGAGTTACAAAAATAGCAATATCTACGCGAAGCTAGTAACCGAAACAAAGTGACCATACTGCATTGGGCAACTTGGTCTTTTCACACTCAAGACAGACAATCAGCCATGTGAAAAGGACTGCCCAAACAGTGAAGTTCTCCATATAACTCCTTAAGGCTGATGCTTCTATGTGCAGCTAGCTTCTCATAAAAGCTCCTGATAAGTAAGCTGTCCCAGACAGGGCCATTCACCTTGCTTGACCTGTTCCCTGCGGTGGGGTTTGGTTGACTGGTTCGTTTCTTCAGTTGATTCCCAAACAAAACTTAAGATGAAATTGAGTGGTAACTATAGTATGACTTGTTTCTGTTGGGATCCTTAGGGATTACCTAGATAAATTGTGTGTCATCTTGGGATTGCGAGTGGCTGAATTAATTTTCATGTGTATATATATTGGGGGTGTGTATATTATGTTTTCTTCCTGCATTTTACCAGGCTGTTAATTCCATATTTCTACAGAAAAATTACAGAGGAAGGATATGAGGGATCCATTTGATGCACCGGTTGATCTCATTAATGCGGACCATAATGGCGGGAATCAAGTTTCCAGGACTGGTGCAGTGTCTGCTGGGGACTATGGTTTACAAAATGGTGGACCCAAATCCTTTGCTCCAAACTCCGACACTCTAGTCAGGTCTTTAATTCTTGAACAAAAGCACCTGCTGCAGACACTTTCTTTCATTTTGTCGACTTCTTTGTGAAGTGACGCTATATCTTGCATCGGCAGGCATCAACACCAGGGTGCATCCTTGCACAAAGACTTAGTTGTGGAAGATCCCAATACTCGTATCATGGATCCTGAGACCAAGGTAAACTGTTCAGAATTTGGAAAAGTTGCAATTAGATGTTTCTTTCAATCTGTGCCAAGTCTGATGTTTCCGTTTTGCAGGAACTTTACTTTAGATCACAATCACAAGAGGACGAGATCTTGTTGCTTCGCAAGAAAATTGCTGAGGCATCTCTCAAGGTAGGAGGGTAAAAAGGGTAAATCCCTAACATTTGTTTCTTTTCTTCTACCGCTATGCCTAATTTATAACCATGGTTACTTTATTGTGATAGGAGCTGAGATTGCTGAGTGAAAAACATATTCTGGAGAGGAGGCTCACAGACTTGAGGATGGTCTCTATAATCATACATCTCACTTTGCTTTCTGTTCCATTCGTAGAACTATTTATTAATTTAAATATTTAAATATTTGCTATTTGCTAGGCTGTTGATGAGAAGCAGGAAGAAGCTATATCTGGTGCTTTCAAACAATTGAACCAGAAGAAAGCCCATCTTGAGGACAATATGAGACTGGCAAATGAACTAAAAGTATGGTGCTATTGTACATTTCAAGAATGTAGGCTCAAAATCTCTATATGCAATGTCCTATTTACCTATTTTATACCTTGTACGTTATTTCATTATGTTTTTTTTTGGTTCATGATCCAAATATTGCGATTAGAAAAATGCCTTGCACTAAATATAACATGTGGGTCTTGACTCCTTGGCCTACATATTGATGAGGCATGGGTAAAATATTTTCTCAACCACACGCTTTAATGTGATAATTATGTAAAGCATCACCTCTAGTTTTCTGCATTTGGCTGTTCTCAGTTTTGTTGTTGTCAACTGTTTTTTATGAAATAGATTACATGCTTTCGATTGTCTTTCTGGGAACTTCTGGACTTACTATGGAATTCTTCTAGGTTGAGGAAGAAGAGCTATACTTTTTTACTTCTTCGTTGCTTAGCATGCTAGCAGAATACAATGTTCGCCCACCTCAAATAAATGCTTCCACCATTACAACTGGTACAAAGGTAATTCTTACTGCATCATCGTGTTTTGAATTGTCTGTTCCTTACTCTGGATCATTTACTGTATTGTGGCCTGAGTTTATTTCTGTGGTAATCATAAATAAATGCAGAGTATGTTTATAAGCTAGAATACATTAGCTATGTTTAAGTATTGCTGGATACTATGCGGAACTGGGAAGAAATAAATTTTGTTGATGTAACTACTGGTTGACAGAATCGAAAGTTTTGTGACATTCTTAACAGTGTCAGTATTTCTGATGAAATCATAGTTTATTTGAATTCAGTTTTCATTGTATGCACGCTCCCCTTTTGCTCAAATACTACTGTAGTATCTTTGTAATGGGTTCGCTTATCAAAAGCTAAAAGCTATACCTTACTCTACTAGCATGGTATTTTCTAATAGATTTTTTGTTAGCAATGGAGGAGGCTTAGGAAGCTCTCTCACTCACTCAGCAGTCACTCCCAGGAGCTGAGGCTCACTCTCACTCACTTGGCAGTCAGTTGGTAGTCACTCGGGAGGGAGAGGAGGAGAAAACACACCAGGTTTTGAGCAGAGGGAAAGGGTCAAAACCTGGTGTGTTCTCTCCTCTCCCTCCCTCCCAAGTGAGTACCAACTGACTGCCGAGTAAGTGAGAGCGAACCTCAGCCTGGCCAAGTGAGTGAGAAAGCTTCCTAGGACTCCTCCATTGCTAACATTATTGGCATGGTTGCACAAACTTACCAAGCAGAATTTACTCTGACACTGTGCAACAGGTTAGTTAGTATGGATAGCTACAATGAGTACTTCTACATGGCTTCACTTTTGTGTACTTCTGTTACATGGCTAGCTGCCATCATTTTGTTAGTTTATCTGTTATTTTTTTTAATTTCTCCTAACCCTTAGTTACTTGCTCAGTTCGTATGGTTGCTATAGTATGCTTATTCTTAGATTAGTCTTTAAAAATCAAACCTGTTTACTAGCTTCTTTATGTTACTTTTACTCGGTGTTAACATGAGGGTGAAATTATTTCTTTTTTCAGCGCTTGTACCAACAGATGCATTGGAAGCTCAGGTCTTTAAATGTAAGTGTTTGCAATTTTGAATCCTTAAGATTGTGACATGTTTAACGTTTGACATGATGATTTTGAAAAAAAATTCATGCTGTTCTAGATTTTAAAATGTGGGTACTTATGAATGCCCTTTTTTGTATTCTATATTGAGTATTGACCCACTGAAACTGAATGTGGCTCAACCGATGTTGACTCGAAAAATGTTATGAAACTGATGTCTCAATTTGGTTTAATTTGTGTGGTATTGTAATAAGCTTAAAGCATTATTTCCTCCTTTCTATTAAAGTGTGTTTTTCCTGACCGTGTAGTTTTGGGTGGGTGGGCCACTTACAACTTACAAGAACAGATATCGGTGCCCGCTCTTGAAGAATTTACCATTTGGGCAGCTATGCTTTATATGGTTGTTTGGGCTTACATATGAGTTTCTTGATATAGCTCCACTGTTGGTCATCAATTTACTTTGCACAAATTATGATTGCTAGATTGATGAAATGTTCAAGGGTTGATCATCAATTCAGTCATCAAGATGACTTTCATTTGACAACTATTTTTTTAAGTGTGTTAATCCGTTGTATAGCTTGTGTATCATATAAACTTTATACTGATCCAGGACAATTTAGGTGATATTACTCAACCTGGAAATATATATAATCCCAATCATCAGCAAGTAACCCTATCAAGAAATGAACCTTCCCCATCATATAATATGGTAACTACTAACATGGCCCTATACTTAACTTTCCTAACATTTTAACTTCATACATAATTGGTTAAGTGGTTCTTGTTTACAGGATTCAAATAGGAATGCTCTTCAACAGTATGCTCAAGGTCCAAGTGACCGACAAATTGAGCAAATGTACCACGGATCCAATTTTCAGCAGTAATTCAAGATCTTCCATTATGACAATATCTAATTATTGTTTGTAGACATCCAGTCTAACCTCTGATCTGCATGAAAATATTTTGACATCTGTTTCTTGTCTGCCTCATTCTTTCAGGGATACTGGAGGTACTACTCCCTCTAATTATTTTGAAGAAGGAAGAGTAGATGGTGACTCGCAGTTATACCAACCTGATGGTAAATAAATATCTAATTTTGTGATTAGATGAGATTCCAGATCATATCTATTGATATTATTGGCAATTGTAATATAGGTGATGCTTTACCTGGTATTGAGGGGTTTCAAATTGCTGGTGAACCGAGACCAGGATTTCAATTAACAGCATGCGGTTTCCCTACAAATGGTACTACCCTTTGCAATTTCCAGGTATATTGTTTTCTGACCTTTTGTTACGATTCTTTATAATTGCTATATGTGTTAAATCCTGTAAATAAAACCTTTCATCCCATTGATGGTGCTGTTCTAGTGGGTTCGCCATCTTGAAAATGGTATCAGGCAGTCTATCGAAGGTAAAGTGGGGAATTTATCCTAGATCCTGTGGCATATTATTGTTCAGATATAATTTAATTTTGCTGACTACTTCTTTATATTTTGAAATTTAGGTGCCACGATGTATGACTATGTGGTCACTGCCGATGATATTGGCACTCTTCTTGCTGTAGACTGTACGCCTATGGATGATAATGGCCGCCAGGTTATTATTCAGAATTATAAAATATATAGGCTGTTTCTTTGGCTTTAGGATGCACTCCTATCTATGTTTTTTTCCTGTGTATGACAATGCTCAAGTCAACGTTTTTCAACTCATTTGTTGTCTATAATAGTATGTGCTAGAATTTGGAAATTTAAGACACATGCATTTATGCTACTGGTTTTCCTAGTCACGCTTAATGTGTAGAACTGTAGATGAGAGGAGTGTACTTGAGCTTTTTACCTTTTACATTGGTTCAATATTGTAACCACCAATACATGAGCATCTGATACTGGGAAACTTTGAATTTAAGTCCACATACAGTGCTATTATTCTAGTATAACAAGTCTCCTTTTATGTAGGGTGATTTGGTGACAGAATTTGCTAACAATGGGAATAAGATAACCTGTGGTGAGTTTCCACTTCTGTGTTGCTGCATTTTTGGATTGCTGATCTCATGTATTACAATATCGTAACACTTTTCTTTATGGATTTGCTTATTGGACCCTATATATTCTCATGCCATGATTTAAAAAATTGAAGATATACTACATTGCAAGGGTTTCCTCTAGAAAATGCTTCCTGAAAAAGTTAAGACATTTACTAGGTAAATAGTGAATAGTCAGAATAATCATGTTGGTTAAAACTGAAAGGGCATCTTATATCTTCTTTAATCAGTTATTATTAAATAAGTTAATCTTGCACAACCATGTACTAAGATTAAGGAATCAGCCTTTGTGGTTGTGGCTTTTTTCATCCCTTGCATACATGTGTCCCAAAACCCAATGTAGTGTCATGTGCTATTACTTCAAAAATGAAAATATCACTGCATTTAGAAATTTCCAAGTTGCTATGCGTTTTCATTTGATATTGAAACTTTGTTTAACTATTTATGGTACTGGAGTGATGACAAGTTTTCTGGTTAAACTAATTTTCTGAGAAATCGAGTTACAGTTACCTGAATGGACATGTCATCCATTTCTCAAACATCATTCCATTTTTCGAGTCTATTTGCATGGCTTTAACGACTTGAACAAAAAGGCACAAACCTGTGTGCTGTCATATAGTATTTCTACTTGCTTCCTTACCTAACAGACGAAGTTCCATTCTACATCTGCAGATCCAGAGATGCAGAGTCATGTTGATGCATATATTTCTAATGGCAGAGCTGAATTTGAAGTTTATGTCCTGGTATGTGTGAAAATGTTTGGGAAAAGACCATTTTATAACCTGAACAATCCACGTTATCTGTTTGACCCCCTGAACAAAATTTCAGCCCAATTTGCTGTCCCAAACTATTTCAACTTTTCCAATCTACCCCCTAATGATTTTCTCGTATTTCTCTGCATACAAGTTGAGTTTTAAGTTCAAATTTCGTGGGGTGTTAAATACTTTAGTTTTTCATCATTGTTTTTAATGCAATTTGTATCTCTAGGGTTAACTTTGTAGTAAATTCTCCCAAACTATGAATATGATCATGAAATTTCTTATTGCATTTTTTTATAATAAGTTATGATGTGCTCTATAGCCCCTCAAAATTGGTACTTATGTGGACAAAAAAATACAAATCTCATTAGGGGTAGATTGGGCTGAAATAGTTTGATGGGAGTAAATTGACTTTCGACATTTCATTCAGGGATTAAATGGCCAAACTAGATTGTCCAAGGTAGTAAAATAGGACTTTTTCCAAAATGTTCATTATCCTGTCAATATTTTTATACTAACTAGCAATGGATGCTGCGGTGCTACCTATGAAGATGACATGATGTTTACTTGGAAAGCATGTTCTCCAAGAATCTTTATCATTGTGACAAGCGTTATATAGTTGTTAATGCAATTGTAATCTTAGTAGTCATGTTTACTGATTACTACTACAATTTGTCTTTCATGAACTATTGATTTAGTTCTTGAAGACATAGATAATGTATTCTATAGCCTCAGTTTTTGGGACTTTAAGACACTCGATTAGATCTATTTACAGATGAAAGAAATGTGACATCAATTGTTGTATGCTTATTTTATTGTTTGATTTTATGTAATATAGGTGTCTGGATGTTTCCTTTTCCCTTATGTAGAATAGGTCCTGCACCGGTTCACCCTATTGTTGAAGGAAAATAGTTGGGTAGAAGTATTGGATGTTATGATCTTGTTTGGGGAAGCAACCATGGCAACCTTCTCTTTTGGAGTTCAGTTAGAACTTTCAGTTCATTCTGGGCAACTCCTATTATACCCCTGTCCTCCTAGCAACCATCTGGCGCTGCTAGCTGAACAGTCAATTTATTGATTGCACTATGATTGTATCATGCATATTTTCTACTGATGCTGGAAAAAAATTAATTAAACAATATCTAAGCGCTGTGGCTGATTTAGACCTTTTGTGGAGCAGGCTTATTCTCCTGAGGAATGGGAAGTGGCTACATTGGTGCTTACACGACCTAACTATCAGATTAAGTTCAAAAAGACCGGTGAAGTTATAATTGATGAGAAGTACTCACAAAGTCTACAGGTATTAATGTCCATGTGACATTGGCCATCATAGTAATTATAAATCTACAGTAACTATTTGATTAATCTGACATGTTTATTCGATTCTCTTATATTAAAATTTGTCTTTGCAGACAAAAATTCCAAATGGGCGCACAACTCAATTTGTTTTAGTAACTACTGGTGCAACTCTTCCATTTAACACACTGGGAATATCAGAGCCAAACAATGAGGATCACGATGTTAGGTACCAACTGTGACACCTTACTTCATAGTCAGCCTTCTCTGTGGCACAATTTTGTTTTCATTTTTGCAAATAAAATAAAAAGGAAATCCATATATCTGATTATCTGACTCTTTTTAGGTTACGTGATCTAATCGTATTAGTGATGAGAACTTTCCAGAAAAAGGTATCCCTTTTATATGGCAATTTCTGATCTTAAACCTTATCTGGATTATGTGTTCACATGTTTTCATTTGTTTGATTTTCATGTTTGACAGGCTCTAGATGCTAAAAGGAAAGGCAAGGCTTAGAATCCATGTAGATCTGTTACAAAAGATTCTTGGTAGAACCGTAGAAGATTTCTATTTTTGATTGTTTTGTGCAGTATTCCATAATTTTTGTACTTGAGGCAGAATGAGCTCTCGATAGAGCAGAAATTTCAAGAGTTACCTGGTGGAGGCGTGTGGGCACATAAATGGTTAGAGGAACCTAGGATCAATTTTTATCCTGCTAGGATCAATAGTAAATTGTAGGTTTGTGTAATTCTTGTTTTCTTCTCATTGCTTGCTCTAAGTTATGCCATGTCACTGCGGTCTTTGTAAATTTGAAGCAGCCAGTGCAGCAAGTAAACCTATGAGATGTTCACCGCACCTCTTGGATATAACTTCATTTCTGTATGTTTGTTGATTTTGATTATCAACTGTTCACCATGCTGTTTACAGTAAGGTTCACAAAGAATCGAATTTGCAATGTTCGTCTCACGGGCTTCCAGTGTGCCTTTCGTTCAGCATATTGCCAATTAAGATGTTTTTAGGGCACAATTCATGAAAGGATGCAACAATTTTCCTGCCTCTGGATTGAATCACATGATTACCATGACTGAGAAAATTGGTTACATTTGGAAACAATTTAGTTCCTCATGGGGAACAGATGAGCCTTAGGTTCTGTCTGATGTAGTGATGTTCCAATTCCTGTATCCTGCGTGGAATGGACTTCAGACGAGGACTCAGGTTACTAACCACACTATTTGGGCCATCTTTCTTTAGTAATCACTTACCAGATGCAGATTTGGCCGAGTTTTCTCATATTTGAGCCGAGCTATGCCGCATCCAAATGATCATCTTGCCCTTTTGTTGTTCACTTTTCACGCAATTGTACCCAGCAGCTAGCGCTAGTGCATGTGATCTTAGAGGGAAGATAAGAGCAAAAAGCAAAAGAGCGAAAGCAATCCTCATGTCCTTCGTTATCAGGGCCTCAGGGGCAGGGTGCTCAGGTAAATGGACCCGAACTTCTCCGCGCCGATCAGGTTGGTGTACGCAATGCCGTTCGTGGCTTTGGTCAGTTCGGCGTATGATACTCTCCGGTAATTCTTTGCTCTCCACAACACCCGGCGCTGCGTCTTTGCCTGTCTCGTCGTTGTCCTCCAGCACTGGAAAATGGTGAACATTACTACATTAGTATGGCCAAGAGTGCGACGCTTAGGACAGGTTCCAGCGCACACACTATCCGAAGAAAGCAGACGAGAACGGTGCATGCCCCTAGCACTAGCAGCCGGGCACCGCGGCGAGCCGAGCTGCGGGACGCCGCCACAGAGCTCCCCGTTCCCGGCGATCTTAAACCCAGATATATGTTCTGCATTGGCACACGGCCGTCGAGATCGCTGTAACACAGTTCGAGCTCGATCAGAGTTGCCACACAGTGCACTTGCGACGAGTTAGTAGGCTTCTCACATTTTGTGAGTGTGCATTTATTTTGAAACGAAAGGAGTAAACTATCTGAAACCGGATGTGTGCAGCGCTTAGGCACAAGGCTGCACGGTGGCCTGTTTGTTTGGCTGTGGCTTGTCGTATACGATCGTAAGTTTTCAGCCGGAACAATATTTTTCTCTCATACAAACCAGCCAGCAGTACTACTTCACGAACCATCAACGATTCGAAACAGCCAACCGAACAAGCTGCGGATCGTCTCACAGCAAGCAAAAATTTCCCAGTCCATCCACGGTGAGCAAGGACGCAGGCGTCAGGGTGTTTTGTAGCTAAGCTAACTTAGTTCGTTTTTCCTCTTAATAAAGTATGTCAAGCCATTCTATTTTATTTTAGCAAGTGTTTGGGTTGGTCCAATGACCCAAAACTTGTACTTGCATCCTTAACGGTGAGCCCAGATGGAAGTCCTAGGTAGCCCAAAACTTGTAGTACCTGCATCCTTAACATATTTACGTTTACACATTTTTCTAGATTATTATATTCTTTTAAGCTCATACGAGGTAGCAAATTGGTTGTATTACTGCTCCATCTGTCCCAGAATAAATATCGTTTTCGGTTCCGTGCAAGTGTTAAGCTTGACTAGATTTATAGAAAATATTAGCAACATTTATATCTCCAGATAAGTTTATTATGAATAAAAATTCAACAATCAATCTAATAATATATTTATTATGCACCATAGATATTAATGATTTTTTGCATATCCTTGTCAAAACTAAAGTGTTTGACTTCTTAAAAAGTGAGAATAACACTTATTTTTGGAACTAAAAGAGTATGTATTATTAGACCAATCTCAGTGAATAGTTTCGTGACGTTGTTTCAAAAATGCCATGTCATATAGAATAAAATGGAACTCGGATGAAATATTCATTCTTAATGCACCGTCGACAGCGAGGCGCCTGTGGTGACTTCATGAATCTTAAGATCTGCCGGTTCAGTCATTCGGAGGTGCTCATATAGGTAAGATTTGCGTACGTGTGTTTATTGAGATGAGTGTGCATACACGTGTGGGCATTTAAAAAATAGTTTCATTCTATAGTTTCATACACATTTAATTTCATAACTCGTAGGGAGTCATAAAACGCCTATTTGGTAATCTGTTTAACGCAAATCAAACTCACGTCAGATCTCTCACAGAGACTGACTGTGGCGGCGAGGGGGAGGGGGTGAAGGCCATGGCCGCGGCGGGAGGAGGAGTTGTTGGCGCAAGGACACGGCGTGGGCTAGGTTCCGGAACGCCTCCTTGGCGGAGGTGGATGCGAGCGTTGCTGCCGGCATGGGTAAATGGGTGATGCGTCGCCGGTCTTCCCCTCTCGGCGGCGTGGGCAGGCGAAATCAAACCAAAACGCCTCTAATGAGCCAAGGCAAGTCGCCGCAAGGGCTATCTCCAACAGCACAGACCCAAATCGGAGACCCATTCCATAGTTTAGGTCACGCACCCGAAACTCGCATTCTTCAACAGCCTACCCAAAAGCACATCCCTCTCTCCTCACTCTCTCTCCCCCGTGCCACCCGTTCCCGTCCCTCTCTCCCTCTCTACCCCGGCGCCGCCCGTCCCTCTCTCCCCTCCCTCGTTGAGCATGGCGCCCCTCCCTCCCGGATCCGGTGGTCGTGGGCGAGGAGGACCCCGAATCCCCCTCCTCGACGGCCGCACCCCGCTCCTCGCCGACGAGCCCCGCTCCCCGCCTCGCCGCGGTACCCGCCGGCCGCGCCCCGAGGCGGACCTCGCCGCGCCGGCTCCTCTCCGCGGCGGCTCCCCGCCGCGGTCCGCCTGGCTGTGCCTTGCTCCTACGGGCCCACCACTACGACGCCAGAGATTTGCGTCGGTCTCTCTCGACGACGCAGATTTGCGTTTCAGCAAGCCTCGTATGTAAAATGTGTGAGGTGTTTGGGTCTTCTGTTGGAGCATTGTTTTTGGTAGGTAAAACACTGTGAATGACCTATTTTGTGTCTAGGTCACGGTTTGCACACTATCGTCCTGTTCGTTTGGGCTTGTTTGGCTTATAAGTAGTACTTTTTCAACCAACGAACAGTATTTTTCTCTCACACCAAATTAACCAACAGTACTTTCAGCCATAGCTTAGCAGCCAAACAAGCCCAAACGAACCGGCGTACGTTGGAACCGGCGTACGTTGGAGACAGTCTAATGACTGCGTCGTTTTCTCTCCCCTCGGGGAAAAAAGAAAAAGGGAAGAAAATACTCTACTAGCCGCGTCCTTAAAACCTTATTAGCCGAGACAGAAGGCCGTAGCAGGACTGCCGGCGATGATCCAGATCCTGATCCAGATCCAGATCCAGACTTTGCAGAAGCAGCATCTCTGGCCTCTGAGTCTGGGACGAAAGCTTCGACAGGTTAGCGCTCGCTGCTCAGACTTTTCTGTCCTTTGATTTGAAATTGATGCCCTACCACTCTGCAAACGTCCTTCATCTTGCAAAATTGTATCCGAACTGTAACGGTGACACCTTCAATTCAATGTCCCTAAAATTAATTTGTTTTTTTCTCTCTCTCAGTGTACTACTGTTCTCCAAATCATAGTTTATCAAGCGTGGCCAAATAGTTCGCGAAATCATAGTTGAAGGAGAGAGGAAGATGATAGGACTTGCAAAAGACCATTCTTGAAAATTTGTGTGACCAAATAGAGATAAGATGATGATTAGAACATCCTGAACGAATAGGCAAGCCACTGAACGAATCGTGTTTTATGTCGTCTCTACTCTCTAACCTTAACTGGAGAATGAAATAATCTATATATGTGGATGCGGATATAAGGTCCGCCCTCGCAGACCTTGTGATATGTAATAACTCGCGTGGCCACCTTTCTCCACCGTTGCTTGGCTAAGTAATAGCTGGTTGTCACACAGACCCAGTGAGAAAGGGTTACAGACTTCATTGAAGAATTTACTTTTTTAGATTAGATACAATAAACCTTGACTGTAACAATATTTCTGGGTACAATAATCATATATTCTATCTTACTAATTAGAGGTAGGGATGCAAGGGGGGCTAGCCCACTAACCCGCTAATAGGCTTAATTTTGTGGGTTGTTCCGTTCTATAAAAAATTACCCACCTTTGCCATTATAAAAACACGCAAAGTAACCTCTAAATTTGCATCTAAATTACCTACATTTGCCATTATGAAACTTACTTTAAAATAATCTTCTAAATCTATTTAAATTATCCACATTTGTTATTATGAAAGACAATGCAAAGGAACCCCTAAGGTGGCATCTAAATTAACCATCTCTGCCATTATAAAAGATTTATTTTGTGAATAAGCCATTATGGAAGCAAATGTAAAGGAACACCTTTAAGTTGCATCTAAATTATCATGTTTGTTGATATAGAAAATAAACTAAAATATCCATCTTTGTAAGTATAAATACTAATACATAAAGTATTGTGAAAAATAATTCAATAACCATAAAGTATGTTGTATGTATGATGATATGTGCCACCATGTAGATCGAGTAACATACATTAGAATAAATAATTAAATATTTATTTAATAGTCTATCAAGCATTGGAAAAATGTTTCCCTAAGAAAC